CCGCAGGACTCCTACCTGTTACCTAACAAGAGAGGAGCTATGCGTGGGTGCTAGCTCCCGGCAATGAGAACCTTTACCACCCCACTTCCTGTGTTGATTTGTATTGTGCTTTTGGGTCCCTGGTGTCTGTGTGAGCTATTAACACAACTACTTCCTACTACTGCCTGAAGTTCAGTTTCCATACGTGTGATAATGTGATAAAAAATATATAACACTTATAAGACTCTCCAGAGGAAGGAAGGAAATAATGTGTGTGGATTTACACACTTCATGGCACATAGTGAGTACCTACCTACCTGATGTGCAGACCATAAAGAGCATAGGCAGAGCTTTCCCCTTGGAGAGCCAGGTTAAGTGCCTGTCCTTTGCAAAATGATCCTCGAGAGAAGGTTGTGTGGTGTGGTGGAGAGATCCTCAGGCTTGGTGTCCACAGGGTTGGCTCCCAACCCTCTGCCAATTACTCTCCTTGTAATCATGAACAAGAAAGTGAGCCTCTATTTCTTTATTCCCCCACTCTCTCCCCAAAACATGGTCAAGGATGATGCCAATGTTTCCCATGCAAGGTGTTTTGAGGATTAAATATGATTAAATGTGAAATTAAGTAAAATTAAGTGTCAAAATCGCAGAGCTTTGTACATCCGTAAATGCCATGCAAATCTTATTGTTGTTCACCTTTGGGGCCTAGAGAGATGCCTCACACTCCCCCTAGCCCGACTCACTAGGGTAAGGGCCTATGCAGCTCTGTTCTGAACAGTTTGGAAAGACTCAGAGAGTTAGATGCTCTCCGCCCAGATCAGAAGAGAGCATCTCAGGTTAGTGGAAAAACAGGGAAAACCCTCAACCCATTTCCTACACCCAACACTACAGAATAGCTTAATTTTTCTGTGGGATGTGGGAAATGAGCTCCAAGACAAGTGATTGTATCTGATATCTGGAATAAATAGAAATTTAATCTAATCTGTGAGCTGTGAAGTGAAATTACTGAGAAAATTCACCTGAGCTAATTGATGCTGAGCAGCTACTCCCGAAGGCAGACACCAGCCCACTCTTGGCAGAACCACCAGCAGTCATTTTGATGAGGAGCCTGGAAAACAATTCAGCCTCGGGTGGGCTGCCTGTGGTGTGGGGATTCGGAAACTACATAGTAGAAATATAAACCAGTTGCACGTTGAAATAAAATTTTGGCTGCATGAGCTGATATCACACACAGGTGTAAACCCTGCTATCTCATCTTTAAAGACAAGGGATCACAGCCTAGGCACCGATCTCTCTATTGTGGGGGAAGGAAGGGTAGTTGGCTTTATAGGTTTGAAAGTTGTAAGATCATCTTCTCTACCAGAGGCAGTTACTCCCTGAACCTTCTAAGGCTACGTTAGAATTCATGGTCAGGAACCATTTATCCATTTAAGGCAAATCAAGTTGTCCATCAAAGGTCAGTAGCTGGGACAAGTGGGCCCTGGGGACCAACGGTATGGCTCAGCATCTGGAGAAATAGGAAGAAATATCTAAGTGGGTCCATGGTGCAAGAAGCATCAGGAAGTCAAGGGCCCAGAAAGGAGTTTGAGTATCAGTAACAGGTTCCTCTGTTCCATAAAACCCAGGTCAGCCATTGAAAAGCTCGTAGATTCCTCACTACACCATCAGAGCTGAAACTATAGCCTGCTTCTGCACCTAATAAGTAGTCCTGAGCCTCCTCCCGGACCGCTCTTCTGGGCCCACAGTGCATCAAGGGAAATGAGCAAATGTGAGAGAAGGCTGCAAGAGCAATTCTTCTTTTGTCCAGTGCTCACTGCCACCTCTTCCTGCCTCCTGCTGCACCCCATCATCATCATCATCATCATCATCACTACCATAGTCACACGCCCACATCTTGAGTAATTCTTTCCACGTATTCTTTCATGCAATCCTCATAATGTCCCACACCCCTTAACCCTGCACCCTCCCCTCCAGGCACATCAAATCTTGGGTCTATCCAAATCTTTAATGCCCAGCTCATGTCCTACTTCTTTCCTGAAGTCTTCCCTGGCCTTTGAGAATAGTGGGCCTCTAATGGCAGAAAGCAGAGCTCTGTTTTTGGCCCTGCGAATATTTTCCATCAGGACTGGGTTAGAGAGAAGAATGGCATGCTTATCTACGTTGTTAACACATTACAGATGACTGAATCAGGATTTCAGAAATTCTGCATGGGTTGAGATGATGCACTAGAACCATCAGAATGAAGTTTGTTAGGCATGTTGTCAAGGTGAATGAGTGCCCACAGGAAAGACCTTTTTAAAAAAAAAAAGATTTTATTTATTTATTCATGAGAGATAGAGGGTGGGGGCAGAGACACAGGCAGAGGGAGAAGCAGGCTCGATGTGGGGAACCTGACATGGGACTCCATCCCAGGTCTCCAGGATCAGGCCCTGGGCTGAAGGCAGCGCTAAACCGCTGAGCCACCCGGGCTGCCCAGGAAAGACCACTTTAATCACAGTTATGTACATATGGAGTCTTGAACAAAGAAATTCTTATCTTTTAAAAAATATTTTCTTTTTATGATTTTATCCATTTATTTGTGTGTGAGAGAGTGAGCATGAACCAGGGGAGGGGTAGAGGGAGAAGCAAACTCCCAGCTGAGCAGGGAACCCAACATGGGGCTGGATCCCAGAACCCTGAGATAATGACCTGAGCTGAAGGCAGACACTTAGCTGACTGAGCCACCCAGGCACCCTAGAAATTCCTATCTTTGTATAATTTTGTACTAGTCAGAAAATATATGGACCATTAACCAGAAATAACCCAGAGGTTATCGAAGGACCCAGAAATTACACCCTTTGAAGAATGACTGAAGGCACCCAGAATGTATATTTTGAGGAGGAAAAGGCTACTGGGGGTGGGAGTTATGTCTTTAGAAGGTGCTTAGTAGACAATCTGGACAGAAAGCAGGGCCAGGCCCTCTGGGATGAGTTACAAGGAGACATACTTGGACTCAGCATGAGGAGTAAGTTTCTCATAATTAAATCATCCTACCTTAAACACAATCTCTTGGAAGAAACAAGTTTCTCACTTTTAGTGATTTTGTCCAATGCTGGCTGACCATATGACAAGGATGTAGTGACAAGAATCCTGCATTTCCTGGGGGCAGGGGAGGGAGAATGAGGAGGGACTGGTTTATCTTCCAAATTCCCTTCCAATTCCTATATGATTCTGTATGCTATATTCCTTTCTTTCCTTGGGGGGGGGGCAGAGGGAGAGAGAGAATCTTAAGCAGGATCCACACCCAGAGAGGAGCCCAATGGACGTGGGGTTGATCTCACAACCCTGAGATCATGACTTAAGCTGAAATCAAGAGTCAGACACTTTTTTTGACCCAAGCTCCCCTATATTCCTTCCTAATCAATGTCCTTAGAGCAGCAAAGACTAAGTTGAATGTACCAATGGTTTGAAGGGGCAGGGATATTGGGATATGGGGCTGAAAGAATGGGGAGTGCTTGGCAAACATAGGAGACAGGAAACATCGGGGCAGCTTCCTCCTGAACATTTCAGGACTGGAAGTACAGAAGAGGAACTCCTACCTCTTGTCTTGGGGTTCTTTCTCCTTGAAAGCTGCTGCTGAAGCCAGTGAGTGAATGAAGGGAAAGAAGGGCCCTGACAACACAATCCTCAAGTTGTTGGAACCCAAGAAAGCTGTGTCTGTAGGGGACACAGTGGGGGTTATAAGCAAAGTGTCTAGGACGGAAAGAGGAGGGATGAATATGGAGGAAAAGACCAAGGAAAGCTCTCAAAAGGGGAGAAACCCAGCAAATGGTAATTTGGCTGGAAGGGAGGATGATGACATGAGCAAAGAAATGGCATCTTCTATGTGGGTGCCGGGGCACTGTCATCATTTTTAAATGGTTGTGGACCAAGAGAGGCGATGCTCTGTCCTGGGAGAAAAGACATAAAGAGAAAAGACCCAAAGACACAATGTGGAGGGGATACCGATTGATGCCTTAAGGAAGGAGTCCTCCGATAGGACAAGGACAGAGCTGAGGGGAAGGAGAGGGCTGCCTGTGCCCGCAGGAGTGGCGGCCTGGTGTAGTGGGGAAAACACTGACCGTACAGCCAGGGAAGCTAGCTTCGCCGCTGATCAGCCGCGGGCCCTGGGATGTTCCCCTCCCGTTCTGAGCCTCGGCATCCTCCCATGTAAGAATCTACTCCAGTTGGGTTGTCTCTGATGTTAATAATTAGATGCCAACCAAGTTCATTTGTAGCCAGAACATCATTCTTTTTGAGTCAGAGGATGACTCTGTGACTGCTTGTATTTTTGTGCTGGTAATTTGGGTAATTTCATTTTTGACTTCCAGTAATGTGTTAATGTTGTTCCCTTTGAAAATTTCTAACCTTTCTCTCCTGAACTTGAACTGGAAGGGGAAGGGGTTTTGCCCCTGCATGGCCAAAAGTATGGTAGCAAGTAGGGTGACCAAGTGTCCCCATTTGCCTGGGAGTGAGGGGTTTCCCAGGACAAGGGACTTTCGGTCTGGGGCCAACAGGATGATTGGTCGCCCTAGTGGCAAGAAAGGTGAAGGATTGAAGGTGGCTTGGAGAAGAGGTCCTGGAAGGGCTCTGCTCCTGTTCCTTTTCTACATGGAGTTTCCCTTGTTGCCCTGCTGACTCGTGTGGTGGTTTTTATTATAAGATACAACTCCTTATTGGGAGGCCCAGGGAAGAGAGGTGAGGGACAGCCTTCACATCAGTCACAAGCCCCATTGAGACAACCATTGCCAGGAAAAAGGCTGATATGCTTGACTAGCACTGATGCTGTGGGGATTTTCCCTTTTTCTTATTTAAAAAAAAAAAAAAAAAACAGAAAAGACCCAGTGGAAAAAAAAGTGATGAGCTGTGAGGCAGACTGCGGGTCCTAAGCAGCCCCAGGAGATAGTACACAACTCATTTGTTTAAATTTGCAGCTGACGGCTGCCACCTCTCTATAGGCACCAGCCAGAGAGCCTCTCAACATCAGTCAGTGACCAGTCTGGTGACGTACGGCTACAAGCATGAACTACCCCCTAACCTTGGACATGGACCTTATGAACTACAATCTGGAGGACATGGTGAGTAGAGACACATGGTCGCTCAGGCCCTCCTGGAATTCTAAATATTTTGTGCCCAGGGCCCGGGGAAGAGGGGATAGCTGTGGAGTACCCTCCCGCTGTGGATCAGAAAAATCCAGGCAGGCCCAATGATTCTTGCTTTTTAGGACTGTATTTTCCCATTCCATGGAGGAAGCAGATAAGTAGAGCTGTTGGTTGAAACAGACATCTTTTTGGGGGGGATTGGAAGTATGGGTTCCGATCCTGTATCCTCTCTGACTTGCTGCGTGACCTGGAACAGTCACTCTGCCTCTCCAGCCTTCAAAAGAAGATCCCCCTTCCTCCAGAAGGGCTGGAATAAAGGCATGGGTGGGAAAGTGCATTGGAGGTTTTCTTACTATTGGGAACCTGCTCCAGTTTTTTATTCATCTCTTGCTGTATGATTATATCATCAGAGCACTACATTCTGTGCTGGATGGAGAAGGTGAGGATTTGCTCCTGGCCCTCAAGTAGCTTACAGTCTACCCATGAAGGGAAAAAACTCCTCTTGCTAGAAGCTCTTAGACAATGACTATGTGCTAAACCAAGGAAGTGTGAGGACAGGTGGTCAGCAAGGGGGAAGACTACTTTGGGTCAGAATCACAGGGCACGGGGATGCCAAGTTTGTGGGGGAACTCTGTGTTAATCCTAGAAATGTTTTAAAGCATGTTGTGGTTGCTCTCAAAAAACTGGAATCTCTAGAAATAAGGTATTCTTGGGTGGGCTAAGAAAATGGTCCCCAGCATCACATTCTGCCATCCACTCAAGTCCCTCCTATGAAGCAGTGACTTGGTTGTCACTGGGCTCCCAAAGGATGTGTGTAGGGAACAGCTCAAGCAGAGACCCTGGGGCTCCTGTGTACAGGGAGGAGGGACTGTTTATGAGGATCTTTGGGGGAAGTTCTTTCTTCTTTCTTCCTTTTCCCACATGGCCAATGGTCTTCTAGGGAAGGGACTTATCTTTGAGCCGTACTCTGGCCTAGATCATAAAGGATCCAAATGCTTCTCCTATACCCACTAGCTCTCCTGACCCTAAACTCACCCTGAGATGCTCCCCAACATCTTCTAGCTCCACCGAATTGAGTCTATACTAGAACTCTACCAACCATTTTCCCAGACTTGCTTGGAAAAGCCTGCTTCTCACTTTCCCAGATCCCAAAGCTTGGAACTCTAAGTGGAACATAGGGAGAAGGTGGAGGGAAGAGCTAAATATCCAAAGTCTGGCCTCTCAGAGCCAAACTCCAGATAAAATCATCAGTCTAATCAGAACCTGCCTTCCCTGCGAGACCTAATGCAAAATGAAAATGCCGGAACCCTTGTTCAAAAATTATTAAGAATTTCAAGATAGCAACAGCATAACACTAAACCAAGCATGGGGCTCTTCTAAGTGCAGGGTCACGTGCCCTAAGAGTAATCACAGTCTGGACAATACTCTGACCAGGTTAAGACTCCACCATCCTGACAAGGCACCGTGCTCCCACCCTGGCCCCCAATCCTGGCCCCTGGCCTCACCTGATTAGGTTAGTGGGTGTTTTCCTCTGCCCACAGCTTCAAGCTGACCACGAACCCTGACCCAGTTGGATAACATAGTAACCAACCCAAGATCTGGCCCATCCCGGCTTCTGAGAAACCTCAAAAGTTTCCCCTAACTGCACGCCTCACTCCACTGCGTGACCTACTAGAGACAGGTGGTGGCAGAGGGCAGGGGACAATAGGGCATGTCCCATATATGAAAGAAAACCTATAGTCCAAGGAGAGAGAGACCTGGCTACTTGCTACATGTCACAACTCAAATAAGTGGTCTTGGGCCAGGCAACCCAGCACATCTGACCCCCCTCGATCAGAGTCTAGTCAGGAGCCCAGGAGTACTGGAACCATCTAGGCTCTGGAACAATTCTTCAACCAGCTCCCAGTACCTCATCCTGCCTTCACTTCCTCCCTGTACACTCTCTAGGGCCATTGCCCCCTCAGGAACACAGACCTCCTACCCTACCCACTCACAATAGGGCTATGGACGGTTTTGACAGCCACCTAGACAGTGTCTCACAGCACAGAGGCCCCATGATGGTGGAGTAGCAGAATAGTCTTGCACATAGTAGCTTCTTAATAAGTATTTTTGGACTTACGATGCATTGAAAGTCCCAGGTACCATTTGTCTCTGAAGTTAGTCTGGCTTCTGTGCTTTTTACTTCCTATTCCCTTTCCTGTCCTTGTCCAAACCAAGTACTAGTTCACTTTCCTAGAAGACTGGGTTCTACACTCTAAGGGTAAGTATTGAGGCCACAGCCCAGTGTTCCAGGAAGACAGGCCATCCTGTCTTCCACCTCTTGGATTCCAAGGTCAACTCTAGCCACTTAAAATGTCCATTTTTAAAAGATGAGCTGCTAATTCCCAAGAATGAAGGACCCAAGCAAAAAAATGCACAAGGCTAAGCACACCAGCATAAGGAGCTGAGTCCCTGGCGTGGGCATGCCAGGGACCCATTCTGCTAGGAAGGCAGATCTAGGGAGACCTAGAAAAGTCTCTGTCCACAGGAACCTGGATCTGGAAGTGCAGAGCCTCCTTTTGACAGCACAGGGGCCTGGGCTGGGATACCTACAGGAGCTAGGCATAAACTCAGCCTCTAGCTCCATCCTGAGCACCAGCCAGGAGGGGAAGCTACTAGACAGAGGGCAAATCTGGTCCAGTCCCAGGACCTGGCTCCTCCAACCCCTCTTCTTCAGTGATGATCCCCCCAAAACCATTTCACTGTGATCAGAGCATCATAGGCTATAAAACCTGTCCACATGTACCATCTCATTTCTTCAAGAAGAGGCAAGGAAGAGGAACCAAAACCGGGCTGTCTCTGGGCTCTGCCTTGGGGGAGGGGAGGAGCCCCCATCAAATAGGTAAAAAGTCCCAGAGGAATCCCAGGGGAGGAGGCCCCAACTGGGGGTGATCTGAGGGTTGAGAGATGAGGTAGAGATCCAGGACCAGCCCGGGGAGAGGTCAGTGTTGAGGTGAATCTGGGCTCAGGCATACAGACCCCAGTCTCCATCAGGAATTCTTGCCTTCCTTAAGGACACATATCCCACCCCCCTGGCAGAACGTTATAAAAGTGGCCACAGATTAGGCACTGAGAATCAAGAGTCAAGAATGAGTAGTCTTCCAGAAATGATGGGACAAAATATTTCAAATGGGTGCTGACCCAGGCGACGGTTTCAAGAGTTTGCTGTACATATCTAGGGTACATGTCTGCCATCCCTCAGACTGTATGACTGTCCCCAAAGTGCTGACTTTGGGGTTCCAGGAGAGGACTCCCTTACCCCTAAAGAACTCAGTGCAAAAGTAGGAGTAGCTTAAAGTCCCCCCAAAACCACATCCGGAGCAGCACCATGTTCCTAATGGCCTAAACTCCGGGTAGAGGAAAGAGGAGCCTGGCAGGTTCACTCCTGAAGGGTGGAGAGGGGGCAAAGGGATGATGTGACAAGTGGCAAACCAGGGTCTCAGATGGTCTTTTGGGAGTGTGGACCCTCAAAAGGAAGAGTGGGATTAGGGACACAGACCCCTTTTGCGCCGTTAGCCCAGTCTCAATCTTCCAGATCTCCTCCCTCCTCAAGCCACTGAAGGATGGAAGGAGAGACACCCGGGCTGGTCCCACCCACAGCTCCTGACCCTTGGCTGGGACTATCCAGACAGTGACATGAAAGGAGATGGAACCCGTGTGTGCTCCCCAAGGCCAGAGCAGTGACCTGTATCTGTATGCAGACTCCCTCCACAGCCATTAGGATTCAGGCCCCTGGAGTCCCGGGCTTCTGCCTGGATGAGCCACAGGCTCAGCAGCCCTGCCTTCTCCTGGGGGCTGAGCCCCGAGGTCAATCTGGGGCATTCTCTGGCTACAGGACAGACAGCTAAGGAAACAAAGCTCCCACGCAGGTGCTGAGCTCCATGAAGATCATGCTGAGAATCAGCTCAGCCCTGGGCAGAGCATGACAGCCAGACAATCCAAGCATCTGCGAGTGGTGCGCAAGGGGCATTTGAGGGCAGGGCCCAGCCTCCTGTCCAGGGCAGGAGTCCCTTCCCGTACACTTGAGCTCACACAGTCCTCTTCCTCCCAGGGGCCCCAACCCACTGTTGGAGAGTGGTTCTGAGAGAAGGTTCTTTCTCCTTTGACTGAGACCCCGACTTCTGCACATTCCTCCCAGTCTGCCCTCTAGAGCTTCACACTAGAAGCCCGTCCTGCGCTCTTGCCCACGGCACTCTTCTAGTCCTCGAGGAAGGCAGCTCTCCTGGACTCGGGTCTTCTTCTGCCTAGACTCTGTACCCCGGTACCTGAGAACTTCCTCTCAGGGCGGGGATTTCCAGACCCCTCAGCAAGCTGGTCACCCTTGTCCAGACCAAACAAACTGGGTGGTGTCAGCTGCCCACCTACACCTTTCTGTTCACCTAGAAAAAGGTGACAGTATCCATCCTGGCAGCCACGTCACCCTGTTGACTCATCTGAAGCTTGCAATCAACAGATTCTCAGGTCTTTTTCTCATCAACTGTTGGGGTCAGTAAGCCAGGTCTTCCTTATCGTGTCCCCAGACAGTTGAAATTTTGAACACGAGGCTAGATCTCTACATGGTTCCCGATCAATTCCATCTGGTCAGTTTGGGCCTTGAGTTTCTGGCTGTGGAGAACTCTGCATTGTCCGTAAGTGTCCCCCAGCCATGTCACACAAGACAGGGTGAAAAGGATCAAGGAGAAGAGGGTCCAGGAGAGACCCCTGAGGAATGCCCCTGTCAGCCGCTGTCCCACCTGCTCACACAGACCCCAATCAGCAAATGTTTGCTGATCTTCACACTGGCCAGTGCAGGGCCGTAAGGCATTTGCACCCTGCCACCTCCCCATCCTCTTTCCTCTTCAATACCAGGACCCAGAATGTTCTAACTCCTTCTCCTGCCCTATCGCCAGTGCTCACAGCAATCTTCTACCCCAATTCCTGGTTCAGGGCTCAGCTTCATCTCACTCATCATGTTTGCTTGCCTTCTTTGGGGTACGAACCCCTGGCTTCTGTGCATGCTGTTGTCTGCTGGGTACCTGCCTAGGCCTCATGCTGTCATGGCCTGACCTGGGCATGTGGCTGTGTCTATACGTGGTGCACACTGCTGTCAGAGCATGTGTGTATGTGAGGGACCCTGGGTTCCTGCAGCTTTTGATGTGAAAGAATGAGTAAGCACTCGGCCAGGTTGTCTGCAATGAGCTCCCTCCAGGTGTGAGCCTTCCCTTTTGCGCCCTACTCCCCACTATGTAGGATTCATGATCCCTCAACTTCTCACCAGACCAGAACCAACCTTGCTTCACTGCCTCTCTCCACGGTTTGGGGAGGGGAGAGGGTGTCTGACTCCCCAGGTGTGGGAAGTGGCTTTAACATGTACCACTCCTGAGCCTCCAAAATGTCTGTTTGACACCTCCTACTGAGACATACTAACAACTCCCAGCACCCCTCAAACCAGCTTCTTCCGTGTTCCCCTCCCTACCTGAGCACTTTGCCAAACAAATACTCCTTGGTGGGGAGGAAAAGAGAGTTTTCCCTCAATTGTCTTCTAAACCTGGGTTCTTGGGAGATAGAGCTTCAAGGGTCCTAGGGGCACATCCCACTGTGCTGACTTTACATGCGCAGTAGACCAATCAGCCTGGGTGCTTTGGAGGGTAAGGACTTGAATAGTTCTCATAGACCCAGATAGGCTGGCTGTACCCAAGCCCTCCAAGGGGCAGCCAGGCTCCCCCAGAGGCAGGAGTCCAGCCTCACTGATGACCCCAGGCCCCACATCTCTTTGCCTTGGCTCTGAATTGCTTTGCTCTGCATGGAGACTACACACCGTTTCCCCATTTGCCTCCTGCTGAATTCCAACATGAGTCAAATTATTGAAAATACCTCCCAATATGGAGAAGGAACCTAAGACATGCTCTAGGCTGTCAAGGGCATTGGGAGAAGACCCGAACCAAAGAAGGAGAAAAGGAATGTCTGAGTTGAGTCCCCACAGTAGCACAGAGGGACTTGTCTACAGTGTCAGAATACAGGGGCACGTGGCCATCTCTGGGAAACTGCCCTCGGAGCAGTTGGGCACACATCTGTCAAACGTCTATCATGTGTGAAACACATGGGCTCATAAGGGGGACACAGAAGGTTTGCCTTCAGGAGCTCGCCATCTAGTGAGGAGATGCACATGTCAATGCCCAGTGCTGTAATAAAGACACACAGAACATAAGAAGAGAATCTGATCCCCTCCCAAGCTTAGGACAGCGGCAGGGAGGTGGGGTGGACTGGGACCCCGAAGGAAGCATGGGCATTAGCTAGGCAATCACGGGGAGAAAGGGGTGCTCTGCACAAGGCAGAGTGAGAGCAAATATTCAGAGATGGGGATGCATCAGGGTGTTGGGAGCAGGCAGCCAGTGGAATGATGAACCTCGAACACAGGGTGCCTACAGCAATATGATAGAAGATGAAGTTTGAAAAGTTAGGAGGAATATCTCATAGGCATTTCAAGCCCCCACAGGGGAGCACAGATCTCACCCTGCAAGTTTATGGTTTTCGAATGAAAGCAGAGTTGTTTATCTTAAACAAGAGCTTATGTGCAAAATACCACATGTGGCAAGAGTGGAGAAGTCTCGTTTGAAGGCAAGGAGAGGAGCTGAGGCCTGCGAAGAGACTCCAAGGGATCGTGCTGTGTGGAGTGCCCCACAATCGGGTCTGAAATGTGGCAGCGTGTGTTAGCCATCTTTCTCTGAGAGAACACGTGGGTGAACCTTTCTTTCCGAGCACCACATTGTATTCCACTGTGTGAATGCACTGGGGTTGGCTTACTCCAATCTTCTGTTGATTAATTTTATCACTTGCCTCCTCTTGTAAATTGGCTTTGCTATTAAGTGTGAAATGAGGGCGGTGGAGGTAAAGATGCTTACAGGTGATGGGGAACCAGTGAAGGACTTCACGCAGGACACGGGATCTGTGGGTTGTAAAATCCATGTGAGGAGCATGGACAAAGGGAGAGAAGTTTCTGGAATGGGTCCATGCAGAGACAGTAGTCCTGGGCAATAGAGCGAAGGAGGCCGGACTGAGGCCGTGGTGGAGGGTCGCTGGGGTGGAGGGAGGCAGATGGCTCTGCCATCGCACAAATGTATCCTCCACCCCCTTTTTGCAGACCCTCTCACACCAGGGTCCAGAAAGAAAGGCACAGGTTAGGGAATGGGTCTGCCCACCGAGAGTGAGTGTGTAACCCACAACTGGGGCCCCTGGATGGCTGTGCAACCACCACCTATTTGTGCAAGACCACTCATCCTCCTGGAAGAAGGGCAGCGTGAGACCAACTAGAGCTTCTGTGCAGAGTACCCTCTCCCAGCCTCTCCCTCCCTGGAGCTCATCATTTATAGAACGATTTTTTTCAGCCCACAGAAGTTGGTTATAATTGGTTTTGAAACCATGGGGAGGGGTCTGGTTGGGTTGGGGGAGAACAGGGCTGGGAAGTGAGGAGGAGCAGGTGCATGACAGCTGTGAGTGAAAGGTATGAAAACAGACACCATATCTTCCTTTGCGGTTAGCTGGGTAAACAACCTGAGCGCTGGTGGGGAGAGGTGGGGCAGGGAGGGGAGGAGGAGGAGGAGGAGGCTGGGGAGGAGGAGCTTCCGGAGACAAGTGGGCACAGCACCTTCTCGTGGAAGAGCACCACCCCTTCCTCACTTGCTTCTGAAGCTGAGAAGGAAGCAGAAGAGGGAGTTGGCTCGGGATGAGAAGGAGCAGGGAGGGAAGCCCAGGCAGTGCTGCGTAGTAGTGGTGGGAGTATGCTCTGGAGGTAGAGCAACATGGGTTCAAACACACTTGAAATTTAGCAAGACACATTGGTCAGATAGAAATATTGCAGACCCGAGCTCATTGCTCAGATTAAACCAAACTATTAAGGCTATTAAGGCTCTGCAGCTATAACCAAGACATTCAGGAATGGAGAGACACCTCAAGAGGAAGCCAGGAGGCCATCCACCGGCAGCTCCCCCCTCAGCAGGAGCTTAGGTTTTAGTGCCCACTGCTCTGTCCAGAACTAGAACAGATGACTCCTTGCCCCCACCAGATCCGTTCCCAAAACTGAAGCTCTGGTTCCCGCCCATGAGCCCACAGCCTTCCATATGGGGGGACACAAGGTAACTTACAGGTGCACAGCCCTTCAGAGGAGCCCCTCCCTACCCTACACACCATGTCTCTCTTCCATCTTTGTCACTACCCTGTGAGGCATTAGTCCCTTTCACAGACAAAAACTGAAAGTTGGAAAAGGCAAAGTGATTTGTTCATGGACATGCAAGAGCAGATGGGGACTTGGTCGGCAGGAGGTATTGGGAGTACAGGGGCAAGAGCGGCATGTGGGGTGGGGCAGACCAGAGAAATCTACAGGGGGAGTCAGGGTCCCTGGTGAGGGAGAGGCGGGTCCTCAGCCCCCCACCCTGCTGTCTCCTCGCCCCTGCAGTACAAGGAACTAGGCAATTACAGCGACAGCACCGAGAGCCCCGTGGTGGAAAATCACCTCTGCTCCATGGTGGAGGGGCCCGTCCTGGCCTCCTTCAAGGCTGTGTTCATGCCAGTGGCCTACGGCTTCATCTTCCTCCTGGGTATGATGGGCAACATCCTGGTGCTGGTGATCCTGGAGCGGCATCGGCAGACACGCAGCTCCACGGAGACCTTCCTGTTCCACCTGGCAGTGGCCGACCTCCTGCTTGTCTTCATCCTGCCTTTTGCTGTGGTCGAGGGCTCCTTGGGCTGGCTCCTGGGCACTTTCCTCTGCAAAACTGTGATCGCTCTGCACAAGGTCAACTTCTACTGCAGCAGCCTACTCCTGGCCTGCATCGCCGTGGACCGCTACCTGGCCATCGTCCACGCCGTCCACGCCTACCGCCACCGCCGCCTCCTCTCCATCCACATCACCTGTGCCACCATCTGGCTGGTGAGCTGCCTCTTTGCCTTGCCGGAGATCCTCTTTGCCAAAGTCAGCCAACCCCATCACAACGACTCTCTGCCGCGCTGCACCTTCTCCCAGGAGAACCGGGCTGAAACCAATGCCTGGTTCACCTCCCGCTTCCTCTACCATCTGGGAGGATTCCTGCTGCCGATGCTGGTGATGGGTTGGTGCTACGTAGGGGTGGTGCACAGGCTGTGTCAGGCCCAGCGGCGCCCTCAGAGGCAGAAGGCAGTCAGGGTGGCCATCCTGGTGACGAGCGTCTTCTTTCTGTGTTGGTCACCCTACCACGTTGTCATCTTCCTGGACACTCTGGTGAGGCTGAAGACCGTGGGCTATGGCTGTGAGCTGAATGGCTACCTCTCTGTGGCCATCACCATGAGTGAGTTCCTGGGCCTGGCCCACTGCTGTCTCAATCCCATGCTCTACACCTTCGCAGGCGTGAAGTTCCGTAGTGACCTGTCTCGCCTTCTGACCAAGCTGGGCTGTGCTGGCCCTGCATCCCTTTGCCAGTTACTCCCTAGTTGGCGCAAGAGCAGTCTCTCTGAGTCAGAGAATGCCACCTCCCTCACCACCTTCTAGGTTGCAGCTCCCTTTGTTTCTGCTTCCCTTGGGGGATGCGGAGTTGCTGGAACCCCTTGCAACAGGAGCTGGGATCCTAAGAGTTCACCTTTGCCGGTGTCCTCATCTGGGGCAGCTGGAGCCAAGCCTTCTTTCCAGGACATCCCTGCTGGCTCTTCTTCCAGCCTCAGGGCTAAGCTGTACTCCACGGAGGGGAAGCAGCCAAAAGGCAAAGCAAAGGATGCCTATGCCCATCTGTATCCCCTTCCTTCGTCTTAACTTAACGAAGCTCAAGAGACAACTTTCACTTCTGCTCTTGCCAATCGGGAAAGTCAGTTCCCTCCCAGAACGCGCTCCATCATCTTAAGGACCACGGATCTCCACAACTACCCACCTCTCCTCTCACCCCACCTGCCGAAAGAAGCTAGAGGCTGAGCTCCAGGGGTTAAGATGGAGGTCGAGGCTGAGCAGAGGCCACATGGCAAAAGAATGCGGCCTTAACGTCCAGTCCCTAACAAACACAGACATCCTGCCAAGCTACCGGCCCTGCAGCATCTTGACTAAGCAGGAAGCTTCGACTGACCTGATCCAGGAAGCTGCTCCTGGCTCCAACCAAAGTGGCACCAGGCCAGCCTCAGGTCACTGAGCCCTGGGAGGTCTGCAGACAGAGGGCAGACTCCAGGTCCCTTCAGAGACCAGCCAGCATCCTAGGGAAGGACTAAGGTCAAACCAGCAGAGAGAAGCTACCGAAAGAAAAGATTCTCCTTCCTTGGCCCCAAGGAGGGGCAGGTAGAGATTAAACCCAGCTGTGTTCTCTGCCGAGGGTGGAGCGGTTCCAGTATGGGCCAGGGGCAGTCAGGTTCTGGTAGATCTGGGCACTGATGTGGAAGGAGGCAGACTGTTCCTTCTCACCCCCCCTCTGCAAGCCACACAACTGGGAGAAACTTGGGCAGCAGAGGGACCCTGATCACACAAAGGGAGCACTTTGCCGAGAGTCAGAGCAGAGCTGGAGACCCCAGAGAACAGCAGACTGGAAAGGGCCTCTGGAAGTTATCTCATTCAGCCCCCCCAGCCTGCCGTCCGGGCCTCCGCAGGAGCCACGAGGCATCCCCGCAGGCCAGGCAGGGTGAGAAGCAGGGAAGTCCCCGAGCCCCAGGAAGCCGAGCCCTGCCCCTGAGAGGATACTGCTCAGATGGAACCAGAGGAAGCCGCTCCGTGCCTGCCTGCCTGCCTGCCTGCCTGCCCCAGAGGGCTCGGCCCCTCCTCCGCAGCCCCTGATCCGGCGAGGGTGGGATGTCCGGGACCCCTGCCCTTGCTGAGGGCACATCTGGGGTGCCCCGTCCCACTCAGGGCGGCCAGCCAAGCCCCCCGGGAGACCCCCATGGTGGAAATCAGAGCTGTGACCCGGGGGGACTGTCTTCGCCGTGGAACACCGGGAGAGCCCTGCGGCCCCCACCCCCACCTTGTCCTCCCAGCGCCCAATGGTGAGCTGGGCAGTGGAGAAGCCAGACACCGAAGCAAAAAGGCAAGACATTGGATTTTAAATTTTCTCTTTTTAATAAAAAGGCACCTATAAAACAGGTCAATACAGTACAGGCAGCACAGAGACCCCCGAAACAAGCCTAAAAATCGTTTCAAAATAAAAACCAAGAAGATGTCTTCACATATTGTATTTATATATTTATATTTATATATATATATTTATATAATGGTACAAAATGGCTGGGGGTATGGCCATGGATGGAGGGAATTAGGCTGGCCTGTGGAGTTCACCTTGGAAAGCTAGTCTGGTGGCGGAGTTGGGACAAGAGGAGGATGAGGAGGGCACTGGGCCCTTTGCGGTCTGACCCCTCTCCCCTCTGGGCAGGAAACATTTAGAATCAGATCGGGGAGTCTTGGGTCAGGGATAGGGGGGGCTCACGGGCCCGGGGCCCAGGTTCAGGCAGGGTGGGCAAAGCGCCTGGCAGGATGGAAGGCAGGTGGCCCCCAAACACAGGTACGGGGCCCTGGCCCCAGGCCCCAGGGAGGTGCCGGAGAGGCGGGAGCCTGCGGCCAGCCAGCCCCAGAGGAAGCGCTTGACCTGGCTGCCGGCGGATTCTGAGGACAGCACCAGACCGGGAAAAGTGGGGCAAATTCCCTTTGTATCACAGCTGCCAATGCAAGGCCAGACCCTGCAGATCAGGAAGGCTGGGGACGGGGCCATGGCAAAGACACCTTATCTAAGGATGGCCTTTGGCCCTGGAGGCAGGGGACCAAAGGCCAGGGAACTGCCAATTCACAAGGCAGGAAAGGAAGTGAGAAAAGGAGAAGTGTTTTACTCCTGGGGCCAAGGGGGCAAAACACTGAGTCTGTATGGCTTCAGCTCTGACCAGAGGCAGGTGGGGAGTTCTGGGAAAGAGCACGGGACCGAGGGGGAGGCAGTGGCTGTGCCTGGGCGGGCACCAAGCCCTGAGCCCTGGGGCAGAGGGACCTTGCAGGTGAGCGGGCAGGCGGAGAGGAGGCCGTAGGATGCCCCCTGCTTCTCCATCACTTTCTCTAATCCATCCTCAAAGGGTGGAGGCTGGAGGGAGACAGAGCTACTCAGCTGAACCCTTTTGCTCCCGCCTTTGGTGAGAAGTGGGTGGCAGCTGCTGGAAAAGGCAGGGCCCGGGGGTTACCTGGCCAGGGGGTGCTGCAACAGGCACAGGACGGTCTGGACCGCCGTGCCGCTCCTCTGTGGCTCCACTCAAGGGGCCACACAGCCTCCACCTCTTCCTCCTTTCCTTCATCCCAGGCTGGGCATGAAGGACTTCAAGTTCTGGCTAAGGTGTAGCAGCAGGGGACGCCAGACATCCACAGCTGGGAAGCCAGGGCCCCCGGGGTCACCTGTGTGGGGCAAACATCCGTGCCCAAGCACACATTCTCCTGAATCATTCAGCAGCAGACAGGCTGCCGCTCTGGGGGGGCGGGTGGGGTGTCTCAGCCTGGATGGGGCTCTCCAGGTGGAAGCCTAGGTGGTCTGACCTCAGTTTAGGCATGGGGTATCTGTCGTTTCACATCTGGGGAAGGGACCGGAATGGTATCTTTACGGACCCAGAAACATGGCAAACCAGGACACGTGTCAGACTGCCGTGGTCCTGAGTCCAGGGGAATGGAAAGGGGCAATAATTTGAAGAAGGGGGGGGGTTCTTTTAACCTTTTTTTCTTTTTTGTGACTTCTATCAAAACACAGAAATACAGCACACACACAAACCGGCACAAAAGCGCAGCGCTCTATTTACAGCTGCGGCTGGCACCTGCCCACCTGGCCAGCCGCCCGCAGGGAGGGGTGGGAGAGGGGGTCAGCCACATCAGCAGGGAGAGGAAATGAGGCAGGAAAAGACAGAAGGAGAAACTGGGCGGGAGCAGAGAAACCAAGAGGAGAGTGAAGCTCGCGAGAGATGGGCTGCAGGAAGGGACGAGACAGTGGGGAGACCACCTCTCCTCCAGATCTCCCCCCAGGATTAGATACAGGATACAGGACTCTGAAAGCACAGCTGAAGAGGGGCGGGAAGGTGCAGGGAAAGAGGGAAGAGAGAGGCTCCATAGGACCGAGGGAGGGGTAGGGGAGGGGCCGTCCTGGTGGCCGAAATGGAACCCCCATCCCAAACCCCCCACCCCACTCTGCCACTTCCCCCTAAGCTGCCAGCACATCTCAGTTTCCACAAATGCCACTCCCCATACAAGCCCCTCCCGCCCCCTCCACCCCACCCCTTGACCCAGGCCATCCCAACACTGGAGGGGAAGAAACTCTTTTAAGGTTATCATATTTGCAATATTGCCCCAGCTCCAGCCAACCCCCCCGCTCCAGGGGACTGCTAGAAGGGCAGGTTGGCCATGCTGCCCGGCGCCGGGAGGTAGCCCATCTGGCTGTCCAGAGACACGCTGCGCTGCCGCAGCGGGTGGGACACCATGAGGTTCTGCTGGGGCGGGGGGCCCATGAGGGAGCCCTGTGGGGAGAGCATGTGGGGGGGCTGGCTGTAGACCTCACCCCCCACACCCCGTTGCTTCATCAGCATGAAATTCTGCTGGGTCATGAGACCTTGTGGAGGGGACATAACCCCCTGGTGCAGGCCGTGGGGCACCATGCCCTGCTGTGGGGGCACACCTGTCCTGCCCAGCAAGGACATCTGTCCGGGGTGGCACATGGACATGTTGAGACCCCGCTGGACGCCCTGCTGGCCCGGGAGGTTGGGGGGCCGTGAGGGGGTCTGCTCCGCCATCATGTTCTGCAGGTTCATGAGATGCAGATTGGGGGGTTGGGCCTTGGGGGGCTGGTTCTCGCTCTTGGGGAAGTATTGGAGGGTGCTGCTTGGCTTCTCAGAGGGGATGATCCTCGATAAGTCGAACTCAGGGATCCCCGTCGGGGTGGGCCGGATCACCTCGCTCAGCTCGGGGTCGTTCAGCACAGATGCCACCCCAGGGAGCACGCCCGGTGGGTAGGCATCACCCATGCGCCCAGCCATGCCTTTGCCCATCAGGTGCTGCTGAGGGGGCATGGGACCCGGCGGCTGGCTGGGCAGGTCCTCTGGGGGCAGAGGCATGCCCGAAGGGTAGTGCTGCTGCAGGCCGGGTCCCCCGCCCCCACTCCCACTGGGGGCCATGGCACCATGGGGCTGTTGCAGCCGAGGGGGGAAGGGCATCATCTGGGAGGAGCTGGGCACAGGGCCACAGGGGGCATTCAGGGAGTCTGGGCCCCCTGGAGGCAGCATCATCGAGTTTTGAGGGGGCCCTCCTGTCCCCTGTGCATTGGGGTGCAGTGGAATGTTGGACCCCAGAGGGGTAGGGGAGGGCAACATAGTAGGCGGGGGTTCATGGGACAGGGGCTGCTGGCCTGGCAGGTTCATGCCCATGGGGCTCTGGGCAGCAGCTGAATTCAGGTGCATCTGGTTAGGCTGGTTATTGCTGATCCCTGTGGGGAGAGAGAAGCGGGGGGTCAGGAGCTGGGAGAGGATGCAGAACTCAGATCTTCCCCACGCCCCAGACAGGCTCATGCCAGGAGG